GACAATGGAGCTGAATAATGGAAATGGCCCAGCTGCTGCTCGGTGTAAACCAAGGCTGTAAGCAACAGTTCTGGGTAAAATTAATTTACAAATGCTCATTGCCTCGTGCTTGTTAAATAAAATCAGTATCACTTATCACTGTGAAATTATTAGAACTGTAAACGTATTATTGTTCTTCGCTTAAATCCAATTTATTCTACACAAGATTCTTTTAAAAACAGCAATAAATTGCACAGCATAATAAGGGAACAACCATGCATTTCTTCTCGTTACATACCTCTCCCTTTTAGAGATTTTGGCTGGCAGAATCAGAATTTGTGAAAGAGGGTAAAGCAGGCAGATATGTAAAAGGTTTATTGCCGATAGGGAATGTTTTCAGGATACAGAAACTTGCTGCCCATCAGTAAAAATATCATTAAAGTCACCAAACAGAAACAGCTCCGCTCCTTGCAACTGTGGGTATTTGTCTCTCGAGGTTTATTAAGGGAGTGAGTCTACTCAACAGATGTTTGAGGGGAGTGAGACTGATCGCAAAGAATGGAAAATCTCAGAACCATAAAGATACAACAGCAATTTAAAAGTTCTGCTACGCTGTAGTGCATCACAGCTGTATATTTTTCCAAGAGTTAAAAAACAAATGGAAAATGAGCAGGCCACCGATTTCAGTCTGCTTTGTAAAAACCCAGGATGCACCACAGAGCCAGGCTGGCTCAACCCCCCCGATCACCCAGTCCAGCCCCTAAAGGAAAAGTGAAACCTCTGAAAAGGGCAAGCACATCTGTTCACATCTGGTGCTGCTTAGAACCAATAACCCCCGTTGTCACACACGCATAGCCCCACGCCGAGCTGGAAATAAACAGCCCGAGACTGAACTTCAGTTTCATGTTGAAGGAGGGCGGGGGAGGGAGGAAGAAAATTAAAAATGGTGTTGTGCTGTGCCATGCCCAGCCTGAGATGATTAATTAAAACGTAAATGTTAAGCTATGGGCCAGGGAAAGCCTGCGAGACAGGAGACGCTCGCCCGTGCACTAGAAGCCTCCTTCCTCTTCAAGTGCGTGAGACGCGATCTACCGTCTCTGCGGCACTGATCAGATCAGAGTGTGCATGCTTTCTGGGGAAAGGGAAGGGCTCCTACAGTTGCACACAGGACGCATGTTTGTTTCGAGTGCACAGCAGACCCCAGGGTATTTTTAGACGAAGCATCTTCAAAGATGACCCACTAAGTCAGAACAGGAGTCATCAAGATCCATGTGACCAATAATAACATCGAGAGGAGACAGAGCTTTAATGGGTGTGCATACATATCATTACAGCCATTAGTACAAACACTTCCTTCCAGATCAGGCTGCGCTTCTGTGCTGTTCTTTGTCCTTCAGAGCTCTGATTTATAGCCCAAAGCCTGAATGAATTTATTGAAATAACCAATTAAAAAAAACTGTTCTGAACATTGCACACCTTACAAATTTAGGGGGGGGGGGACAATTAAGCATTTGCATGAACAGAAGTTCAACGTCCTGCTCCATCAGATGTGACTGTGCTGAGCCGTTCAGTATTTGGTAAACCTAAGCTGGACCCTACAATGTACAACTGTAGTGCCAACTAACAATTATTAGCATGTCCAGTATATGAACCAGGTGGGGCTGCAAACTGGTGGTGGCGAAGGGGAGTCCCCATTACCTGTAAAGCGCTTTGAGTGGAGTGTCCAGAAAAGCGCTATATAAGTGTAAGCAATTATTATTATTATTATTATCATCATTATTATACAGGGTAGAGCTGTTCCTTCCTACCTTGAGCTGCTGTGGGTTGATGGTTTTGTTAGTGGTGCAGTTCAGGGGGCCCTGGGTCATGACCTCCACAGGGTACATCAGCTGGTGGTTCTGGATTTTCATTGGACAATGCAGCTCCAGGAGGGTGTGGCTGATCAGACTAGGACCATGGTTCACCAGCTGGGAAGAAAAGAGAGACAGCAGTGAGAAGACGAAGCATCAACACACCAGCAGTAGAGGCAGCAGCTCAGATGGCAGCGTCATTACAGGAGCACTGTGTTTATTACTATGGGTGGCTTTCACCAGTGCCTTAAGGTTATGTTAATCTTAATTAGTCCCGTCAAGAGGGCTTATATGATCACGCCTGGGGGAAAAAAGGTGAGAACAGTGAAAATCTCTTTCCGTTCAAAGAGTTTTTACCCTGTTCACTGGCCCAGCAGAACATGGTAGGAGACAGAGGCCAGAGACAGGTATGAACAAGAATCTGCCCTGGGGAGAGGTTGGTCGGTCAGGCTGTTCTGCGGTCGCTCACCTCGTACACGTGGTGAACCAGGGGGCCGACATCCTGCTCGGTCACCGGTCGCTTAGTGGCCTTCCAGTTGGCCGGAGGAAAGATGACCTTGTCCGGACGAGACACCCTGCCGACGCCGAGACAGAATCCGGTCACTCACACGCACCCTGACAGACTGGCGTATAAACACATCCGCTCCGGACAGCAGCAGGAGAGCACCGTGGGGCAGCAGTAACAATTCGGGACTCCCGGCTGGAAAGCTGGGGATTCGAATCCCAGCTGTTGTACCCTTGAGCAGGCTGCTTCACCTGAATTCTTCCAGTTAAAGGCCCAGCAGATAACTGCATCGGCCAAATAAATCTGGCGTGACAGGCACCTTTTAAATAACCAAGGGGAAAAAAAAATGCAACATTTTAAAAAGTACAGGGTCGTTCCCAGACCCTGCTCACACAGATGGTCTGAAGCCTGGTGTGGATTATCATCAGGCATGAGGTGACATGATCAAGTGTGTTGTTAGATGAAAGGCAACTGCACTGTGACCCAAACGGTAATGCACTGTACACCAATGACACTGTGAGATGTCACATGGCCTGCAGGACTGTTGTCAATGTATACAGCCATACTTGTTATACTCCTTTTGGTCACATAATACCCAACATTCCCACCCATCTGGGCATCTGATGCTATCAATGCTTCCATTTCCTCACCCCTGCAAGATGACGTCTGACAGCACTGCCACATCCAGCTTGTAGGATACCACATCGCTGCGGGAATTATTTTCATTTTTACTGGGAAGAAAGAAATAAAACAGAGGATCACTCATCTCTTACAGCTTTTAAAACAGACCAGTGAAATAAGGGACCGGGAGCCACAAGTATAAGTTATGAGTAGGACTGAAAAGAGGAATCACCTCTTTGCACAAAGAGTTGTGGATGTCTGGAACAAATCACCCTGATGTGTTATTGAGGCCAGCTCCCTTAAGCAACAGTAAGATGGGGTTCTGTGACTGATTATCTACCATCAACTAAACAGACCAGATGGGCCAAATAATATCCTCTTTGGCCAGCTGTCTTACATTTCTGACTAGTCATTAAGTGTAAAACACAGCGGTACATATCAAACTTTGGATTTGCATGTGTGACACTCCACAGGACTGGTGGGGAGGGCGATTTTAAGATTCAAGTACTGCGTGAAACGTATTGCAGTCTCCAAATCTTTGACAGAGGATATCCACAGCCACGTGCTTTAAGGTTTTGAATAGGCTGTCTCTTTTTTATTTTTGATGGTTTAGCAGCAAAAGATGGGACACAGAGAGGGGAAAAAAGCCAAGACTATTGTGATGTTTGCCCGATGAAAAATTACCTTAAATACATGAATATCTTTGCCCGTGACTTCAGTATTTAATTCATGTGCTCAGCTCCTATGTGCAACACCCTTACTGTCCTGAACCTGAGATGTTTTGGACAGCTGATCGCAGGACTCTGCAAACACACACTTCCTCGTGAGAGCCCGTGCCCAGACTTCAGGGATACAGATCTCCTTACAAAAGCTCATCAGAGTCAATTCTCCCCCCGGTTCATTCCCGGGATGTTGCGGCAGGACGCCGACGTACCTGCGGATCTGGAAGTCGAAGTGCACGGCGCGCCGGGAGTCGTCGAGGTTGGGGACGGTGAAGCGCAGGCCACCCCAGAGCTGAAAGGAGAGGGGCAGTGTGTCAGGGCGGGGGGCGCGAGGGCTGTCAGAGTCACACTGGACTGCCAGCCTCGCGCAGCTGCTCCACACCTGCACCAGCCCAGGCTGAACAGATCTGCCCCCCAGCGCGGGGCGCGTGATCGACACATGTTTGGGGGGGGGGGGTATTCAAAGGCTGGAAAGACGTATTCCAGGCTCTTATCTTTTTGAGGTGTAGAAATAACTAACGAAAACACTCTAATTAGAGTGTCTATTGGAACTCTAGAGGACACCCTACAAGTATGCTCAAGCTGAAGGCTCAGAGTGACACTTAAACTAAGCTGAAAATACAAATTGCTATCCAGGTGAAACTGCAGTCCAATGTCCTGCACTGCTCCTGTGCTGTCTGGACAGCGAGACCAGCTTCTTCGTGCATTTCTGAAATCATTAAACACTGTGCGCCAGAATGCAGAACACTGGTGTCAATAACAAGCTCATTTTAGTAGCTGCTAATGAACACGGACATAGAGCAGGTCAGGGCGTTCGTGATTTGACACAGATTTTGCTACCTCCCGCTTGGCTGAGAGAACGACCGACTCGGCCCCCTCCCGTCCCCCAAGGTGGACTGAGGCAAAGAGCTGGTGCAGAAGGAGTAGGTGGACAGGCAAGTCAGGCTTAAACACATGGGGACACGCAAACTGCGTTTTGATGAGTGTTCCAAGGTGTCCTTCTGCACGATGCTCTAAAGAGTGATCTATAGACAACCAGGTTTTGTCATTAATGTGTTTAAGAGCCATAATGAAACTCCCTTATTAATAATAATAAAACAGTTATATAGCACCTTTAAAAGCACTAAAAATGTTGCACTCCCAAACGAAGGTCATGACAGGAAGCCCTTGTGGTGATGGCTTTAAAACCACATGGTACGCTCCTGCCCTGCGCTCCCTGCTGGGCTCTTCCTGTTTCTCTGAGGCCAGTAACCACATGGGATCAGAGTTAACTTCCTTTCGCTGCCTCTGTCCCCCAGCAGACACAAAAGCCCCACTGTTCGAGCTCCAGCCAGGCAGTGAGCAAGAAAGGACATCTTTAACGATGCACAGTCTGTGTATATAATCTGTATTTCACCACAGCTACATGTAATACACACATGTGGACTAATCTAACTGGCAAATCCGAAGAGGGGCCTGAGGTGTTGACGGAAACAAAATAGAGTAGTTTTGAAAAACTCAGGACTGCATCAGTTGTTGTGATAAGAGGATGTGCCTACATGATAAGATTGCCTTCCCTCTTGTTTAGGGATAATGGGGAAAAAAAACGTTCTAACTGAAAACTCCAGTTAAGAACAAATAGAGGGCATTGTATTGTTAACTGATCCAATGCCTCAAGTGGTTGGGAGGAGAATTATTTTTAAAGTCCCTTTATTGAAGAGCAAGAACCTACAGGAACATTTCTGTAAAGGCCCGGGGGAATTGCTCAAGAACAGACACTGGAATAAAGACAAAGTTTAAAAGCCAGATTCTTACGCTGGTGCCAGACTTCATAGGGTTGCCCAGATCACAGATGACAACTCGGGTCTGGTTTAGCATTTCATAGCTGCAGGTCAGCTGAGAGAGGCTCTGAAAGACATGGGGCAACGCACAGCATTAGCACAAATGCATCGCCTGAGCCGAGCCCCGACCCAGGACTGCATCATCAGAGCAGCGACAGTTTGGTGTGAATACAGAATACAGTTTCATGATTTGTGAGTAACATAACTATGTATATATAGTTAACAATTAGGTGGAGCTGTATTGACGTCCGAGAAAGAAGTAGCAGGCCAGGAGGACCAACCTCGTTATTGCGTACAATCCCGCTGTAATCGGCTTCGGGGGGAGGGATGACATACAGCTCCGCCTCGTACGCCCCTCCCTCTCCCTCGTTCCGCGCGTTGAAGGTGAGGGTCAGGGAGTTGTCGTCGCCCAGGTAGACCTCTTTCTTGTCGCTGCAAACGAGAAGGCCACAAGACATCAGGCCTCCAATCCCACGCCCCTCAAAAGCATACAAGCCAGCGTTTAAGAGCCATCTTGGGAGTTTTTGAACAGGAGATTGTGATGCTATGAGCACCCAAAGCACTGATGGGGGGCTCTTCTTACTTGCAACCCTTCCCCAGTGGGGAAGGAAATATTCCACAGGGAGTCTGACATCACTAGTGTAGTATTTTTCAATGTGGAATATACTTGCTCTTCCCACTGCTCCCAGCTCACATTGTCCTTCCCGAAGATCATGTGCTCAGGTGAGACTTTCCTGTGAGAACATGTGGACACGCCCTCCTGCCACCGGACAGGACAGGAGGGGCCGGCTGCTCGTCTCGCCCAAGCCTCTACAGGGCGAACCCAGGCAACCCCGGCAGACCACAGGCAGCTGCGCGCCACAGCCTGGGGGAACCCCAGTCAGCTAGCGGCGCAGGAGCGATCCGGCCCGCCTGAGCTGAACCCACAGTCATCGCCTTTACCACGCTGAGCGCACTGAGGCCTGTCGGGGTCCCCGTCACCTCACATCCGTTCCCCTCCTGTCCGCAGCCAATTACCAACGAGGACGCGACCAGCACCAGAACCTGTCACGCCAGATTCACCGGCGACGCAGCACCCTGGAGGGGATGGAGTGGCTGCTATCATCTTTTACATGTTTTTAACAAATCATTTAAAAATCAGTGCATCTGGCAGGCACTTGGACCTTCTCACTAGGGTGGAGGACAGTGCAATCAATGCCAGTCACAGGGGAATCGCCCTGCTGTCTTTCACACGAACGCAGAGACCAGGCTCAGGCCTGGCCAGCAACTGGTTTTAGGCTCCTTTCTTCTGGGATAGTGAGAGCTGGGATATTACCAAAAATCACATCAGGAAGATTTGTCTCAGGAAAACCTAACCCCCCTCCCTTTCAAATTCCCTTCCATGTATTCAATGTAGCAATAATGTTGGACATGTGATAGTGCAGAGAACAGGACTGTACAGTCTCCTCCCTCCCCACGGCCCTGAATACAATAAGAGTTTCCATATGAGGGAAGCACAGCTGATTCCAATTATGTCCCAGCCCTCATAAAGTTCTGCAGAGGAAGCAGGACAATCAATATTTCAAATGCTGGAGTTTCTCTGGCGGGTGGTGAAACAGCTTCGTTCATGACGAAAAAAAGGGAAACTTTGTTTGAGTTAAATGTGCCATGCAAGTTGCAAGGGTGTCAGAAGCAATCGCACTCTTAGCTGAGGCACTGGAGTTAAGAACCTGGAAAAAATATGTTTCTCTCAACTAGTGCATCTGAACCTCTAAGTATAAAGATTCTCAAGGGTCCTCTCAACAAAGTCCGTCTGTGCATTGAATCAAAGCTTCTAAGCCACTCAGAATAAAGGTGACAGCACCTCAGACTGCTCTCACTTTCCAGCCAAACTAATTGAAAGCACGAAAATATCCCAGCACAATTTTGCATTGTAAACATTTACATAGTGCACATTGTTGGCAATTACTTAATTATATATACATTTGCATCATTACAGTGTTCTGTGCATAGTTCCATTGCAAACATGCTTAATAAGACTACAATTAAATGCATGTGCAAATAATCTGTATAAATTTACATAATGCAAAGTGCTCTTCAGGGGTTATCATATTCAGGGTTGCCTTGATCTTTATTTGTGCCATGCCTTCAACACATGCACAACAACGGACTCTAAAACTAAAAAGAAATCATGTGCTAGGCCAGCATAAAGTTCCTGAGAACTACACCACATGTGCACAGAACAGAATTCTCCAGCCTAAAAGACGAGGTGACACCACATGTTTTTAATTTCTTGATTTTCCATATCTTTTTATGGAGCTCCTGGAACACAGTACCCTAGAATATCATAACTTTGCTGTGCTTTCTCCTCAGAACCTCCCTCAGATGCGGTCTGTTTGATTTCTCCTGCCATTTCTGCTGGGTCTCTCCTCGCCATGCTAGCTGATATCTAGACCCAGATTAATAATACCGAAAGTCTGCTTCCCTCTCAGCGGGTGAACAGAAGTAAACCAAAGATTCGTATGGGTTTTTCTGAAGTGTGCTCGGTAGTATGGAAGGGACTGGGATCAATGATCAAGAGCATCTGCAGGTGTGAAAGAGCAGTTAAAAACAAATTAAAAAACAATCCAAAATAAAAGGAACAGCTGAGCTGTTCAGTTTTGAAGTGTACAGGCAGGTTTCTTTAATCAAAGTCCAGCAGACGTATGCAACAGCTTCAAAAGGAGCTGATAG